CTATACTGTTTAACAGCTTTTCCTTTTGAGCTCCAGCAGTAGCACAGTTGAAGTTCATCACCTCGCCCGAATAAAAGGCACCCCTTGGACTGGTTATAGTTGTAGGATTTACTGTAGAGCTGGTTGCTCAGCAAAATGATGGAGTATTTCTTAAAATTAAGCCTTTCATGTGGAAAGGCTGTTTCTCAGAATAACTTGGGTTTTCATCAAACAACTGGAAACAGAAAATTGCCCAACAGGTTTTGCTTGAAAGCTGTTTTTTATAAACACTTCACCAGGATTTTTTTTTTTCCTAAAAGGAATATTTTTCTGACTAGGTTAGGTGAAATAATGACCGAATTACCCATAGTATAAAAACCATTCGTTCATTTGTGGGACATTATAAAGCTGCTGAAGTGACCCTGAAAAGTTTGGAGGTGTTCACAGCCATTTTTGCCCTTCAGGCTTCTTGACAGGCAACCTTCTGCACATACAGTTTGAAGAGGCAAGTCTAACGAACAGATGCTTGCTTTCCTATAGGTCTGTGCACTGGAAGGTGTGTGTGTTGACAGGCGTGCCAGCGAGGAGTAAGACAGACAGCCATCTGTGCAGACTGCAGCATGTTGCTTGTTCAGCCTACGTAGCTTTCTGCAAGCAGATCTGAAAGGGAAATGACAGCGGAGGGATGGAAAATGAGAAAGGGATAAGGCGAAGAGGAAGCTGAAGAGAAAGGCTGTCGCTGCTGTGAAGGCGCATCCCTTAAGCAGAGGAATATTTATACAAGCATTGTATCTAGATGGCAGCTAACTGCAAACAGAAGAATCCAGTTGCCTGTGTGACACCAAGGATTAGCCAAGGACTTCAGCTGTTGAAGCCACGAGACATGCAATTCTGAGGCTGATTCTCTGGAGCAGGCAAGGCATCTAATCACCGTCTCAGCAAATCTTTGTGTAAATTTACAGTGCCACAACCTCCCAGACTAATAACCATGAGCAGCACAAGTAACAAAGTCTGACTGTCAAGGGACCAGTTTCCTAGATCCCCATTCCTTCCCACTGAGACGATGCACGCACTGGCCCCACCTCAACCCTGCAATGTTGCCAGACACATAAACTCCACCACCAGCAGGCACCAAATGCTTCCAGGTCTTTTACAGCTGTCTTTGACATTTTTTCCATTCTCCTCCCACCCCTGGCATGCTCTACCCCTTCTCGGGTCCCTAAACTGGCAGGTGGGAAAGGGAAAACCTGTATTTATCAGGCAGCCATGCAGAACAGCTCAATTGCGCGCTCACACTGCAGCCCCTCAGACTAAGTTTGGCTGTGATCCACTGTGAAATTTAACATCACTGGGAGGAAAAAGGAGGAGAGAAATGACAGAAAACATAATCATACAAACCTCACCTCTACAAGGAAGAAGGTGAAGATAAGCAGCAGCCAGATCACCTGACTAGTGGAAATATGCCTGGGCGACAGGAAGACTCCATAAGGAGCCTTTGCATCAAACTTCTTAGTCACCATCACAGGTTGGGTTTCTTCTCACATTGTTCTCCCCGTAAGTTTCAGTTCCAGCTTTGCCTCTCAGTCCCAGTGAGACTGTGCTGTTTGCTTCAAAGCCTGGATTTTCCCTTTTAAAACATGTAGGTTACTAGACCCCCAAAAAGTACTGACATTTCAGAGGCTGCGTTAATGAACAGCTTGGCAGCTGAATTACGTCAAAACCTAAACCCCGGTGACCGTTAACATTTTAACACTCTGCAAGTACCACAGAAGGAGTCCTAGAGTCCATGCCTGGCTAGTTAAAAGAAAAGCTGAGGAAGAAGCGGTTGTTTCAGGGCATATACAGTCAGCAAACTTTCTTTATACTAGTAAGGTTTCTGAGTAGGTCAAGTGAAAACTAGTATTTTCTCATCTGTCTAGGTTAGCTTCCTGGTGGCTAATGAACACCAGTGCCCAAGAGCAGGCTTACCCAACACCTCAGCCTGGTGATAAACTCCTCATGAGATTATTTTGAAAGGTTGGACCTGATACTGCGCCTGCAAGAGCTGCAGACTCTGCTAAAAACAGCTGCCTTTGATTTTCACACATTGTACTAGTAGCTGCTTTAATTATAAGTCTGAATGTAATAAGGGCCTGACCTCCTGACTTAGCTCTAACAGTTGAAAATATTTACCTTACATGGGCAAAAAACCTCGGGGGCAGGAAAAAACGAAAATAAGAAAAAAAAAAGAGGAAGACATAGATGTAATATAGCTGTGACATAACCACAAGAGTGACAGCAGAAGTGAGGATTTACACCCCACTGTTTTCATGTTAGGTTCTCTAGAAATATCCTAGATTTCATCTCAGGAAAACTCTGAAGACACAAACTGGGACACAAAATGAGATTGATTGTTTTCATTTTTGTTCTAGTCTAATAGCCAAAAACATCTCAGAAGAAGGAAAATAATTTTAACTGTTGGTGACTGAACTCATCAGAAAACAAAAGTCTCAGCTTCTCTTAAAAATTAAAAAGAACACACATCTCAAACCATATAATTATACATGGTTTCATACTGTGGGATTTAGCAGTCTGCTGCATATCTTCTCAAGAAAAGCTTCAAAAAGTGAGCAGATACAGCAGTCTGAAGGTGTCTTCGAATATTCAAGACATACAAATTGTCTCTTCTTGTCTCAGAAAGGATCTGGATTTGCTTTTCCTGTTGAAAGTCACCTACAGTAAAAGACGCAGACTCGTGAGAAAGGTAGCATAAAACATATCAGCTTCTCTGGAGGAATAAGCGTCAGTTTCTGATAATAAGGTGCCTCTTCCCCGCCTCTCTTTAGCTGCGAAATTTCTGTTCTGGCTGCTACAGAAGGAGACACATTCTCCTGCTAGGCTTGTTAACCAACACCAGAAGTACAAGACAAGAATAGAAGATAAGAGCATGACTGCATATCTGTGTTTTCTGTATCTGTAAAACAAAACCAAAACTCAGCATAAAAATATATTGCTGGAAATTGCTTGTGCTTGAAGCAAAGTTTTGCGTCCAAAGCACAAGGGCTGTGTTTGACATTTTAAAGGTATTGCTCATGCCAGCTGACTATAGCATGTCTAAGCAAATCTACCTCAAGTACAGTTATTTAGTTGCTAATTATTACATTTAATGGTTTTGTCGCAGTCCACAATGCTTTCACCCTATAGACAGGAAGCCGCAATATTGCAGCAAAACTTACATAGCCGGTCATCTTCATTTCCTTCTTGAGTTTGGAAAGGAGCCAAAGCAATACATATCTGTGAGAAACCTTCATCTCCACACGTACCAGAGGAAGTTTGGTGCACTCACTGCTACAAGTCATAAATTACCCGAGACTCCTTGACGAGCAGAAGTTCAGCCACGTGAAAGAGATTCTGAGAGGTAAGAACCATCAGTGAGTTCATGTGCTCAACACTCCTGTATACAAACAAGCCTTCTGAGTCATCGTCATCACCTCTCGTGCGCGGCAGACACGTGTTCTCAAATGCAGATGCGCTAAGGAGCTTCTGACACCTGTCAGGTGGTGCAGAATAGATTCACAGCAAAAACAAGACATTTAGCAAAAAAAATATACAAAAAATCAGGAGAAATGTTCTACAAAGAAGAGAAGAAGCTCTTTCACAGCACAAAACCCAAGAGTAAGAACCATCCAAGCTACACGTGCATCCACGGTTTGGCAGCATCACTTGGCCTTGGCGCACAGCACTTTGTTCACGGGGCAAAAGTCAGGCCTGGTAAACGCTGCGTTCGGCTCTCTGCTACCTAGTTCTGCTAAACTTTTACCCGTTGGCAGCTGGTAAGCTGTTACTCAGTTTGTAACACGCTATATGTTAAACATTGGTTATATTAGGAATAAAATCTTTCCAGACACGTAAAATGAAATGTCTCCATCGCAAATGTAAGCACAGTGACATTTTGCTATGTGCCAGGCATCACATACGTTTTCCTTAGGCAACAGATAACTTGCTACGCTGCCTCTGTAGAAGAAAATCTTCCACTCAGTATCTTCCCAGACATGGGATGACAGTAGCCAGGGGCACACCTGAAATCCTTGGAATTTAACGCACACATAACTGCTGGGAAACTTGGTACTTGGAAAGGTCACAGGAGACAGACTTCTGGGGGTATCTCCAGCTAAATGTCATCTTTTCAGCGATGCTCTCCTCACAGGCTAACAGAAGGCAGACAGACGTTTCCCAGTGATAGACACATTTCCCTTGCAGGAGGCCTGCTCGCCTCCTAAAGGTAACGCTTGTATCCTCCAGAGCCACACAGCAGAAACGTTGTCCGGCAATCTACAGCCGTGGGAGGTACAAGCTTAGTCTGTGCTCTCCACGTCTCTTTTGGCAGACACGCACCAAATGGAGCTAGAAACCAGAAGCTGATACAAAGCAAGGTTATGCAAAATTTCGCCAAACAAAAATGAGACATTCTGAAATGTGTTATTATTTTGGTTGGCTGCTTCTTCAGCCTGAAATTGGAAAACGCACATAAAACCAAAGAAGCTCAACTTTGAACGGCGATTTGAATGCAGTCTCTCACATCCCAGATACTCTTTGCTCCCTCTCCTGTGCAGTGACAATCCTGACCAGAGAAGCCTTCTCAGTGTCAAATCCAGGACATTCGCTGGAACAGATTCAGCTTTGATGAACTAGCATTTTCTAACAACAAACAAAATTTTCTCATTAAAATTACAAGCAGTTCTAGCAACCCAATAAAGAACAACTTGAAATCAGACCTCAGCCCTTCTACTCACATCCTTAATGTCTCACTGTTTTCCATTAATAGATTATACCTCTTTCCTATTTCAGCTTTAAACACAAACCCCTGGAGCTTCTAGCTCTTAGTACTACTTCCAGATAAGCAAAAGAAGAGTAACATCCAGTCTCAGGACTTTGTGATAATTTTTGCCTATAACCTCTGTCCATTCTTAGTCTGTCTCACAGAAGTAACCAAGAGGTTTACTGTCCAGAGAGTACAAGGGAAAAAAGGAAATACAACAAATATTTTTAGAATTTTATTAACTTTAACAACAACTGCAAATTAAAGGGTGGTCAGTTGTTTGGAGAGCATTCAGATACACATTTAAATGCCAACTGAAAATATTTAACAAACTATGTACAACTACGTTCAGCCATCAACTGCTGGATGCTAATCAATATAATCCAAATCTTCTGGGATTCCAAAACTTTTGTCAATTCTGCTCTCTTCAAATCCAAATTTACGTTTGGCCCAGGACTTTATTGAAAAGATGTTATCTGTAAACAGAATGAAAAATATTCAGTTTTTAATGTTTAAGAAAGCATGAATTACAGTCTTCATTACAATAAAATCCTTCAATTTGCACTCTCTGTGTATATGAAAGAGATATATAGTGGAGAATATCATATTAAGTAGATATAGAACAGATGAGAAGCTTTTGTTAATGACTTATTTTTACTAGGTACTAAGTAAAATATGCCTTCTTTTCGGGAGGTTACCTTTATCTTGCTCCTCTTCTGTTAGGGGACTGAAAACTACAATTACAGCACAAGCCTGCTACAGAGTGATGAGGTGAGTGTGAATATACATAATGCATATCTCATCAGTGCTTTTTCAACTGGACATCTACTGTTTGACTGTCTATAACTGCAAAAATCACATTCAAATCAACTCTAAGGTCCTTTCTAGTCCTGCGTATGTTTGCTCAGATAACGTACATTTTGTTTGAAAGTTAAGGACATTCAAGTAGCTTTATTTTAATCAGCATTTCTCATTTAGCAACACATTACTATTATTTTAGCATATGCAGTCTCTTCAATGTAACATCATTTTTCACTGCAATATTGACTGAAACTCACTACTTTGTTGCTAACACCCATAAATTGCAGCATTCCTTAAGACAGAAAGCATTCTCTGTGTCTGCACACCTTAGAAATATTTTTTTCTTTAACCATCAGAGATTTGGGTTTAAAACTCTCTTCAGAAGAAAAATATGCTACAGCATATAACCTAATTGTTTAATTCAACAGCAAAGTACTTTCTGCAGGCTGTGGCATAGTTGCTTGAATTCTCTTAAGACCCTGAGAACAACAGCCTGTCATCAACAGTAGAATGTCTGACAACAGTACCCCCAGAAGCTATTTTCAAATACTTTATCTCCCCACATGCAGTAAACAACCCAGTGCAAATGAAGACATAAAGTAGTAACAGTCAAAAGACTAAGACATAACTGATGATAGCAAGTAGTCCCTCACTAGTAGAATTCTAAACAAAACAAATTACAAACAATATTGTAAATAATTTAAAAAAAAAGGTAAGGACATGTGTATGGCTTGCTCTGCAAACTGGAAATATATATAGCAATACAGCAAAGCTAAGCGACAACAGAAAACTGAGTTAAACTTCCATGCAAGCATTATCACAGTAACCTTCCTCAAAACCGTGCAGAATTTTCCCTGCATGTCAAAGTTGATGAATTAGCTTTAGCAGTATCTACTTTATATAAGCATCAGCAATAAGGTTCCACAAAGCGTTCTACTCTTTAGAAACAGATGACCATTCAGAAAAGAAAAATTAAACTTTCTGAATACCCAGACACCACCATTTCCAGACTCTTTCTATTAATGTTTTCCTCATCTTAAGAAATTTTAACTCAATCAAGAAAATGAGCTGCAGGTTTTAACATGGTGTGAGAGAGCACCAGAAGAACAAATAAGTTACATGAAGTACATTCAGTAACTAAACTGAGAAAATGTATTCTTTTTGTGAATCATCATAGTGTAGAAGGAAAATATATCTCTGCATGTTTTCCTAAGTGAGGGCTATCCTACATCAAGTCCTTATCAAATTCAAAAATTCTTAACAATGTGTGGGTCTTTTACTGTTCTGAAGCTGTATTAAGCAATAGGAATGCATACTCACCAGTCCATCTGTTGGCTGCCTCCTTGGCTATTTTGTTTGTTTGGCCTGAAATAGAGAAGAAAAAAAACAAATAAACAAAGTGTACATCAGAGTTAAAAACATACAATAGTTTCAAGGCAGAGAGATTAAATTTTTATTGATGTCACTTCAAGAGACTCAAACAATATAAGGAAGTTGTTCTACTGTTTGCAAAGCTATCTTCTGTTTCATGCTTTTAAGGTTCCAGCAAGCACAAAGCTAAGTTAAAGAAAAACGAGAGTGAAGGAACATAAAAGATATCATGTGAACAACTGTGAGTTTTTGAAGTGTATTTTAAAATAAAATAATCCTTGTTTGGTTTGCTTGGGGCCTTAATTGTCTGCACAAAGGCTGGAAATAGATACACGGCCTGCAGAAATGACAGGCAACTGAGATGGAACATGTTTTATAATCCTCTCTATACATAAGTAATGCATCACATAGGTATGTGTGCCTCTATATAGATAAGAAAAATGACAAGGGCAGCAGTCTATCACATTAATCCATAAGTTTATCATACAGCTCTGGAAGGTCTACCAGGCTTTGAGAACTCCAACCATTAAATCAAGACAAAATAATGCTCCTGCTTATTAAACTTGGTTTCCCTTCCTTACCACCACTCCAGATCTAAATACCTAACAGTAAATTACTTACTACAAATAGTTTTTATATAGTTTCCATGAGACAAAACAGTGACAAAAAAAAATTCCTCTTGGATCACCTTGCTCCCGTTAAAATAAGTACTGATTCAAATCAAGCAGGTTGGTTTGCAACGTGGGAATTTATCAGAATCATTATGGTTCTCACGCCTACACATAAGTTATTCCCAGTCAGTCTTGTTAGTACCTGCATGATAATACTCATTTGAATGGTCAGCATGAAATCTGTCTCCAGGGGTACTGAAAAGCGAATATATGATCAGCTATCCATTGTTACAAAGATTATACTCCAGGCAAAAGTAAATTATGTTGAAAAATGATCTGCTGGTACACAGGTAGCTAAGCACTCATTATTCTACCCTTAACACTTCAGTAAGTGATCTGAAAAAATGTTTTTATCAGAGTAAAACCCCATTTCAAAAACAGTGCTGTTTTACAAGTGGCATAAAATTGGAAAGCTCGAGCATAGCATGAAGAAAAGCATAAAAGAAAAATGGACCAAAAAAAAGGGAGCGAGTGAGAAGATGGCTTTTTTGCTTGTTTGCATGCAGCAGAAATTCAAGTAATTCTGACTTAGAAAGAGAAATTCCTTATTTCCTTTGATGACTGCTTGTTGCCACCCCCACTAGCTCAGTTCCACAACTGGCAGCACTGACAACATAGTGGCACCCAACGGCTTTTGGAGCAGCCCTTTGCCTGACAGTCCATAAGGCAAGTCTGCAGAGGAAGGGCTTCCACCGGTCAAGATTTTAAATGGGTTAGCTAGTATTTCCCTCAGCATTTTTCTGAAACTCTGAAGGAAAACTGGGAAGCTGTATTTGACTCCAAGTAAAGAAGTTTGAAATGAAGGGGGGGCGGAAAGCAAGATAGTAGTAAACTGCATGGATTCAGAGCTGGAAGGTGACAGCATCCCGATGGTGGGCGAGCCAACCTAGTTCACAGCACCTGTGAGGTCTCAGCAGAAAGCTCTGCTCTGCTGGCAGCAGCTCCTCAGCCCAGCCCTGCGCTTCTGGGTCATGCACCAGCTCCACGTTCCTGCAGCTTTCAGCACACAGTCCTGTGCTTAAAGCTCATGTGGCACAGGGCTTTTAAAAAAACCTGGCAGTGGCAGCATGGTGCACTGTCACCCTTTAAACATTGCTGATGCATGTTACGATACACGTGTGTGATCACGTGTTTTTAAAATATGACTTCTTACCTCTGTCAAAGACAAGGCTGAAGCGACCGACAGATGCAGGTTGGGCAACAGAGTGGTTAGAATGGCAGTGGCTGCCTGTAACAAAGTTGTGGCTAGAAATGAGCTAGAGCAGGAAGTGATAATGGGGAAATCCCACAGTGGGCAGCATCTCCAATGACTTAAATAGCAGAGGGGAAAAAAAAACCAAACAAAAAAACAAACCAAAGGAACTCTTGGGAGTAAAAGTTAGAAACATTTTAATCATGTGATTTTTTCCATGCACCACCTGGGACTAATCGCAGGCTGACAGCACAGGGTCACGGTAGAAGTGTACAAGGATCACAAGTGCAGGCAGAATTTCAGGATGGGGAAGGTGACATTCAAACAATCTGGCTGAATATCAAAGAAGAGGCTGCCTCAGTCTTTCAGAGACCAGGAAACACACATCCCTCACATTACTCTCCTGCCAGGGGGCTCAGAGCTGGGGAAACAGCCTTGTAAAGCCTCAGGCTCATGACGTCTGCAGAAAACGCATTCACAAAGAGGCTGGGGCAAGTGTTTGCTGATTGTGATGCCCCATTTACAACTAGCTGGCCCACATGCCCACGGGCACGATAGCACCATAGGAAGGCAGGCATGGATGTATTCTGCCATGTTGAAAGTCACTTAGGCCATCAGGCATACTGTATCAACAGCAATACCAGCCAGCCTGGCATGTTGGAAGACACCTGCGTGTTCCTCACATCCAGCCTGAGCAAGCCCATGCAAACAAAGACAGGTTGCACCATCTCTTGTCATCAAGTGAGACTACCACTGCTGCAGGATGGCACTGCTTAACCACTAATTCCTTCACTTAAATTTCCCCCTTGCATTTCTTTTTTAAATTTTGGAGTGAGGGAAACACACCTCATCTATCTCCAGAAACTACCACATCATCACCTCAGCTGTTCCCTCATGGCTATGAGTTCAGCATTTAGCTATCTGAAGGCAAGATTTAAGTCCCTTGGGATCAAGCTCAGTTCTTGCCTATGATTCCACTGCAGGATCTTGTCTGCCTGCTGTATCCAACACCATGCCTCAAAGAGGAAGAAGAGACAGGTATCAGTAGCTATGGACCTGCATCAACTGAAGACACCAGCTACATCTGCATCCTCACCATCACAGTCCAGATGCCCCCAATTCCACCACAAGAACTGACAGAAATGAAGGGATCTGCATCTTGACTGCTTTCTGGAAACCTTTTATAGTTGCTTGTCAGGACTTTCATTGGTTGTGTCACCTCTGCATGTGTGCAGACGGAAAGGAGGAGTAGTAGTAAAACATCCTCAGACACACCTACTTTATATAATGATGTAACTCTAAGTCATGCTCCTTCTGATTGCCTGTTCTCTACCTCCACAGGATCACACAGCCACTTGCCACTTGGTTTTCAGACTGCACCAAGAAAAAGAAAGCTTAATATCAAAAGAAGGCAATAGCATGGGAACTTAAGTGTATGCACCAAAGGATAATCAAGACACAAACTGTGTGAACTGTAACAAGGAGAAACTCAGAGACAGCGCTGAGGGCAACTGGCTCATTGTCAAAACCATCTCAACCTTGGGTCCCAAGCTCCAGCTGCAGTCCTGCTGATCCTCCTGCTGACCAGAGCTGCTCTATCAGAAGAAGAGGTGAGCAATACAGGAGGCAACATGTTCCAGATGCTTCCAGATGTTCTTATTACCACTACTAGGCCCTAGTTACGCTCTATGTCTATACATCTGCATATAGGCTGACAATATATACAATTGCTGCCTGGAAACAACAGAATAATCCTTTTGTTCTCAACATTATATATTTATTTCCCAGATTTCTGTGTCAAGGCATCAACAGACTTTCCTGCTCCCCTGCCTGCAGGACACACACAAGTCATTCACTTGGCTGAGGCACACATCTGCATCCTCCACTGACCAATTTCAGGCACACTTGGCATTTTCTAAGCAAGAAAATGGAAGCTTGCATTTTCTCTCCTGAACCGAACAAAAGCACCCACTGTGTGTACAGCAATGCAAGGCCCAGGAGCAGTGTGGCTTGCAACACTAGTCTGTTAAGTTAGCAAAACACACCTGGAAATATGCCCTCAACAGGGAAAGGCTAAGGGTCAGAGAGCTAGCTTTAACTAGTCCTTCATGGGCATCTCTCCTTCCTTCAACCCAGGTATCTCCAGAGAAATCCCAGGAACTCAAAAAGCGCAGATTCTGAGATCTGAACTATTGTTCTAAGCATCTGTCGTTGTCCTTATCACAGGAACAATCCCCTGTATCCCTGTAGAGAAAAGCAAAAGTAGGGAGAGGAAGGTCCAGCTGCAGTAAATGTCTAAAGAGAAAGTGAGGGAGGGTTGGAAACACGCCTTTTAATGCAGGCAAGTGACATCCTACCAGTGACCCGCAGAGACTGAGGGCCAGGAGCCAGAGCTGACAAAAGGGCATGTGGACAGCTGTAGGAGGTGCACTAAGAAGCTTTCAAAAACAAATGAACAGCAGCTGGTCAGGAGTGAAGGCCAGCAGCACAAAACACTAACAGAGCAATGTTTCTGAGCAAATCTGAACTGGCAATACATACTGGCTCAGATCTTACCACAGTAAGGCCACAGTGTTTCTGATGCAACTCGGGAAGCCCTACAGTCATTCTCTGCATAGTGCCTCCTTCTTTCCTCTCTTTCCTCCTTCCCCCAGATTCCCTCACTTTTTTTTCTGGACAGGTGGTAGTAATTAAAGGTCCTGTTTGCATTCCAAAATGGAATAGCCAAAACCTGTTAAAGCCTCAAATATCCCCACAGGAGGGTAAGACCACTACATGCCTCCTCAACACTACATATATACTCTGGGAGACTAAACTAGTCTCTCTATCAGACTTTGGTCACTTCCAGGGGTGCAAAACCATTGTGATTGCAACCACTGCCACTATCTCCTCACAAACTTTTTCCAAACCTACTTTCAGGTTCTTTCTAAAGGCTTTTTAAGTCCTGCACATATATAGGAATAGGAATACTACGGAAGCAGTCGCTGAATAGCATTCAATATCAGACTTAACATACTCCAGCTCCAACAGCTATACTAAAGTCTCAATAGCTCACAGGCACCAACCTGGAAATGAAGAAATAGCTGTAAGCTTTCTTTCCTCTCCCAGCTTCTACTCTGGTATTTCCAGGA